GAATTTTTGGTGGATGGACCATGGTTGAGGATAATAGAACTCCTAAATAATTAATTGGAAAATTTAATTGTACTTTATCTATTGCTATATCTAGATTATAATTTTTTAATAAATTTGTAAGTGTGGCATAACATTCTAGCAATGTGTTTTTAATCTTTGTGTGCTAATAATACATCATCCATATAGTGAAATATTTGTAGTTTAGAATTTTGATTTCTAAGTGGCTGGATTGCTTTGTTAACATAAATTTGATACATAGTTGGGCTGTTAGCCATTGCTTGAGGGAGTACTTTCCATTCATATCTCTGATAGGGACCTTCATGATTCAGTGCAGGGATAGTAAATGCAAAACGTGGACTATCCTCAGGATGAATTGGAATTGAAAAAAAAACAATCTTTAATATCTATAGCTAAAACATACCAGGTTTTTGGCAAAGTAGACAATTGAGGAATCCCTGATTGAGCAGGTCCCATAATAACCATCTCATTATTAATGGCTCTTAAATCTTATAATAATCTCCATTTACCAGATTTCTTTTTAATGACAAATATTATAGGGAGATACGGAAGGTTGTATATGTCCCTTCGCTAATTGTTGTTTGACCAGGTCATGGGCTGCTTGTATCTTTTCTTTAGTCAGGGGCACTGAGGAATCCATACTGGTCTTTCTGATTTCCAAGTAATTTTTATTGTCTCAGTGACCCCTTCTGAAAACCCAATCCATGTCTATTTATTCCTTGGTCTATTTGAATTGGTGCTGCTATACCTTGTTCTTGTTCTCCTAATCTTTTTTCTTTCCTAAAACCTTGTCTAACCCTAATAGTGGGCACATTTGGATTGATGTTATTTGTTAATGTCAAACCTAATTGATCTAGGACATCTCCTCCCCATAAATTTATAGGAAGATGATCCAATACATATGGCTGTATAGTTCCTTCACATCCTTCAGGATCCTTCCAATCTAATACCATTGCACTTCTATGGGGATTAGTCGCCACTCCTAGGCCTCGAAGTGTTTGAGTGGCTTGTTGTAACGGCCAATGTTTTGGCCATTCTTGACGAGAGATGATGCTAAGGTCTGCACCTGTATCCAGTATCCCATTAAATTCATGTCCTTGAATATTTAGTTTTAGCATTGGGTGAGAATCTAAATTTAAAGACAGCATAGCCTGTTGAGAGCCACAGCTGAAGCGGCCCCAGCAAACTTCCAGCTGATTGGCTCCTCTATGGTGACGCTCATTGGGCTGTTTCCCTGCCCTTTTAGACCACGGAGCTGCTCATTGGGGGACTCTTTTGGCTCCGCCCACATGACCCAGCCAATCGGCCTCAAGAGCGGGAAGAGTTGGGGTTGAGAGGCTCGCCGGAAGAGCTGGTGGTGGCAGTTGGCCTCTGAGGGAATTCCCGGAGAGCTCGCGTGGTGCGGCGTGTGTTCAAAAAATAAAGTTTGTTCCTGCTTGACAAGTGGCTCATGAAATGTGCCCAGCCAGACTGCGGCAATAGCCCAATCCACAACTGTGGAGCCTAATCCCCTGGAACCTCTTTCTATAGTACAACTGGAAAATTTATCATGCAGCCTGGGTATTATTAATAACTAACTGTGCTATTCTATCTCCTGGTGAAATTACTGATATACCTCTTGGAGAACTAGCTATAATTTTTATTTCACCTACATAATCGGGATCAATTACCCCAGGACTTATCATAAGTCCTTTTAGAGTAGAAGAACTGCGTCCTAACAATAAGCCTACTGTTCCTTGGGGAAGAGGTACTTTTACTCCTGTGGGAATGATTTGAACTCCCATCTCTGGAGTTAGTACTGCTCTGGTGGAGGTGCAGATGTCCAACCCTGGGCTCCCTCTGGTTTGTCTGATGAGAGATCTGATGGATAATGTGTCCTGGGCACTACCCTGATGGTGTTGCTGGGTTCCTCCAGTGCCCTGTATATTTGTGGTCGTAAGCCCCAGAGCATTGGGTCTCCCTGTCCATTTTTTAGCAATGGAGCCTGATGCCTTTCTCCACGATATCATGGGTAAACACATGGTCCTTGTCCATTTTTTGATAATGGAGTACCCTCTATGGTGGTTTGAGAATGGCATTCATTAGTCCAATGTCTCCCTCTACAGCATCGTGGGCAAATACCCGGTATTCTACCCCTTTGATACCTAGTTTTGTTAAACCCTCCTCCTATGGGGCAATTCCTTTTAAAATGTCCTGTTTGTTCACAATTGTAGCATGTTCTTGGCCTGGCATGTAAAGCCTCTTTTACTGCAGCTGCCAAGACTTGCCCTTGTTCATTAATGTCTCTACATAATTTAATATATGTGTTTAAATCTTCATGTTTCCCTGGTCTAATAACCTCTCTGCACCAATGATTTGCTTGCTCATTAGCCAGTTGTTTTATTAATGGCATTGCTTGTTCTGTATCCCCCAAAACTGTGGTAGCTGTTTGAATAAGCCTATCTACAAATTCAGCGTAAGGTTCATTAACTCCCTGTATTACCTTAGATAATTGACCTTGTAAATCTCCTTGTCCTTGTAAAGTCTTCCATGCCCTAACTGCATCTGCAGCAATTTGTGAGTATATAGCAGGATCATATCTAATTTGTTGCTGCTGATCCTCATAAGGTCCTTTTCCTAACAACATATCTAGATTTCTCTGAGGATAACCGGCTGCTGCAAATCGCCTAGCCGTCTCCATGCAAAATTCCTCATTGGCAACCTTCCATAACAAATATTGCACTCTATTTAGCACAGCTTTATACATACTAGTCCAATCTGCTGGTGTCATGTCCAAGTTGGTAATGGATTCGACCATGCTTACAGTGAAGGGTGCTTGGGGACCATAGGTTGTTACAGCCTCCTTTAACTGCTTCACTGTTTTGAAATCTAAAGCACGGTGAATTCGCTGCCCTCCTGCCTGCTCAAGTACAGGGCATGCTAATCTTTGAGGTCCTGTCTCAGGATCCCATCTATCAACTACGGGGGTTGGGGGCCCCCCAGCATATGTTGTCTCTATAGGTGGAGCTGTTGGTTGGACATTTACGCCCTCTGGTGATAGAAAGGTGTTAGTAGCAGCCTCCTGTTGTAACTTTTTTCCCTGATAATCCTTCCTCCTTTAAATTTTCTTCCTCTGTCTGACTAGCTCGAGAGACCTTCTCTTTTACTTGATCTAAAATGTCTTCCTCCATAGTCTGAACCTCTAACAATTTACTTAACACTCTTTCGGTTTGTTTTGTACTAATTTCTAATCTACTATAAAGATAATGCAACCCAAGAAGATAACACAAAACAAATCCGAAACAGAATGAAACAAAGACGGAACAAAAAATCGTTGTATCAATTTTCCTATTTTCTTGAAATGTATTTTCGTGGTCTATCTCTATCCCTTCCTCAGGGCCGAACAACTTCAAACCTTGAGCCAACCATTTTTCCCAGTTTGCCTGAGAAAGTTCTAGGGACAGGCAGCTTGAAAGAAAAAGAAAACAAATCAAAACATGAACACATTGATTTTTGAAATGGTCACCCATTCTTTCGCTCTCCTTCAGGGGCGAGCAATTTCACTTACCCCCAAGCTTCAGGCGTTCCCCGTACGGGCCACCAAATGCTGCAGTCTGGCTGGGCACAAATCACCAAGCCGCCACAAAGCACTTGTATGTTCAAACAGGAAACTTTATTGTCTGAGCTCCAACAGCACTCCACGCACTCTCCCCGGGAACTCTCCCAAACGCCACCCACACGGCCCCTTTCTGGCACACCACACCAACCGGAACTCCCTCCACCAGAACTTCACCAACCAACGCGAACTCCCCAGGAAATCTCTGGAGAACTCCAAAGTAGTGGGCGCCCGAGGCGGAAAGCAGGGGTCTATATACAATTGAATCAATCCAGCATCATCTTAATGGCTCGCCTCTCAACCATTACTTCTGGAAAAATGCCAGGCGTCATCCCGACTCGGCTGTGGCCCTCAACAGTGAGGACCCATAGCAACCCCCTAGCAACCAGCAATCAGCATGAGACAGGGAATATAACTGGGATGCCAGGTAACCCTCCCAGTAGTTTATGGTGGTTGATAACATGTTGGGAAACCATGTAGTTCAGCATGTATACCCCTCATGGTTTAAACCAATCAATTCAAACGAATCCCCCTCTTTTTTCTTTTTTTTAAGAGAGAGAGAGAGAATTTTATTTAAATATTTATTTTTCGGTTTTCGGTGGACACAACATCTTTATTTTATTTTTATGTGGTGCTGAGGATCGAACCCAGTGCCCCGCGCATGCCAGGCAAGCGCGTTACCACTTGAGCCACATCCCCAGCCCACAAATCCCCCTCTTGTACTAACCAATCACCCCTACCCAACTTGTTCCTGCCAGTGAATGTGCTAATCAATGTTAAGAGTTGTTGTTTGATTTTCCTGAGGTGTGTGATGATTTGCTAGGAGATACTATGATGTATGTGAAGTCCCTGCCTTCACCAAAGAGTGTATAAAACTGCTGCAAACCCTGGGCTCGAGGCCTCTCAGCGTCACCAGTTGCTGTGTGTGCTTGGAGGACCAAGCTAGCTCGCAATAAACACCTCTTTGCTGCTTACATCGATCTTGGTCTCTAGTGGTCTTTTGGGGGTCCCAAATTCGAGCATAACAGGAGCTCTGCTGCTGCAGAAGAATCATGTGTTGGTGATGGGACTTATTTGGACTTCCCCTCAACATGAAGAAAAATATAATGATGAACTCTCTTGGGACAGTATGATATGCATCAAGAGAATCCCACTCCTCCTGTCCCTCACCTGCACCTCCTTATCTTGTTTGCTTATTGTCCCATGGTGCTTATTGGCACCCACATTCCCTTCCTTTATCAGGAAGGCAAAGCTTTCCCTAGTGCACTGCCCTAAACCTAATGGATGCTGCCATTGTTACTGTAGTCCTAGGCCAGAGGCCTAACTCCAAGGATTCAGTAAATCAGCTGGGCCACTAGCCTCAAAAAGCAAACAGGAAACATAATGGTGACAAGCATGAACGGAACTTTAATCCTATAGATTGCAACGGAAAGACAAGAGGACCTCAGCCCTGTCCTCCAGGGGCTGACAATGACTTTGAGGTTTATAGAAAGGGGAATGAGGGCAAGGGTCCGGGTTTGCACAGCTAAGGCTGTCACAGCTTTCAGTGCAGGTGGCCTTGCTCAGGTGTGGTCTGTCCCTGGTGATCTCAGGATCAGGTGAGGCAGGCCTTGTTCAGGATGAGAAAGTTGCTGTTGCCTGGGGATAATCACAAGAGGCTTATCCTATCAGTCCTTGTTCCTGGAATCCAAGGTGACTCTGGAGAAAAGAAGATGCATGCAAAATGGAGGCAGGGTCGCAAGTCTTTAGTCCAGTGCTCTGCCACTGGTCGGATATCTGCAGGCAAAAGCAAAGAGTCTAAGTCCTTCTTAACCTTGTCTCACCAGCCAGAACTTGTGACCACCCCACTGCAAAGGAGGCTCAGAAAGAGATCATTTTGGTTTCTGAACCCCTATAATGAAGGTGAACAGTGGAGAAGTGGGAGGAGAGTGGGATGGACATTGGAGCTGGTAACCCTATACCATGTATGTTCTATAATTTGGCTTTTTTTAGGTCTTTCTCTGGGAGCAGCTATATACTCTAGCTCTGCCCTGATGGGGGTTCATGGGATTTGATTATGGATGCTTACAATGTGCCTTTCACAAGATACTTCTGATGGATAGCCTAAGTTACTTCTGCATGGATGGTGTACTATTCTATGTGGGTTAGCTCACAGAACTACACCCCAGGAGCAGTGGGCACTGTTATTAGGAATCCACCCTCCTGGGTAGTCAGCCAGCATCATACCAAATGGACACATTCCAGAGACGGAACCACATATACTTTAGCCACCTTGATCTCTGGAGACACCAGATGTTTTGGTTATTATCATGGTTTCAGAGTTTTTACTTTTAAAATGGCAAAATAACAAACAACCTGTTATTTATCATGATGAAAATTAGAGATGGGCTCAAATATATGAAAGATAGGTGAATTGTCCAAAATGTTTTAGCGCTCTACTTTTTTGAATAAACCAGGTGTAAAAATTTAAGGAGCCCAGAATACTTAAAGAGGCTGCCTGAGGCTTGGCCCTAATGGTCCTGGCTTTACCACTTATCTGGAGGGTTTCTGATTTGCAGTTGCTCCTTTTGACTATAATGTAGAAGGATCCCACAATGTATTTTTGTTTCTCAACATTCTGGTGCAAGATGGTGGTCATACTGTCTATAGCTGCACTCAATACTGTATTCCCTAGCCATGTGTGACTAAGAGCATTACAATGTGGCTAGTTCAGGTTGCAAAACAATACATTTCAGTTTGAAGACAGTACCAACAACCTATTGTTACTAAGTGGCTCTAATGACACCCTGCAGGGAAAGAGAGTAGACTGTAGTGCTCACTGCTCCAGAAACAGGGGTCAAATTGGTAGGAAATTTGGTTTTATTCAAAGCCTGCTTTGAAGGAAGATAGAAGAAACAACCGTTTCAAACATTCCATCTTCAAAAATCCCTAAAGGTGAGCAGAACTTTAAAGAAGAGGCAGGGGAGAAGGGAGGGGCAGCAGTGAAGTGAGTTGAAAGATAAGGGATGTACCTGGTGAGATTTAGTTAACCTGTGTTAGGCCAGAGGAACGCTCTGCTCCCAGCTTCTTGCCACAGGGTGAGGTCAGCCTTTTGGCTTTCCGTCTTCATAGGAGGAAGTTCCCCTTAATTCAGAGGGGGACCCCCAATTCAGTCTGTTTTACCTTGAATAAACATCTCATTAATAATTATTGATGTTGGGCTGGGGGTGTAACTCAGTGGCAGAGAGGTCTTGCACTCCGGAGGACCTGGGTTCTAACCCCAGGACAGAAATAAAGTTTACATTGAGTATGTTTAAGTAACAATCTTTTGGCTACCTTGAGTTGAAATATAATATCAAAATCATTTTCAGTCTTTCTACTGTTTTTACAGTTGCTACTATAACATTTAAAAATTATGTAGCTTACCTTCTACTTCCAGAGGACAGTGCTCTTAGTACAGTCTGGACTTCATCAAGCTCATGGGGTGGATTACTTGTTTGTGCTCATCTCCTCATAAATACTTATTTAATATATATTTAATTTTTTAAAAAACTTTTTTTAGTCATAGATGAATACAATATCTTCATTTTATTTATTTATTTGGATGTGGTGCTGAGGATCGAACTCAGTGCCTCCCACGTGCTAGGCAAGCTCTGCCATTGAGCCACACCCCAGCCCTGTACTTATTTACTGTAACTTCTGGACAGGGGACAGAATTGGCTATTTGTTTCCCTTTGACCTGAAGACATCATGCAGTCCTTTCTTATCCATCGCAAATCTTTCCAGCTATTGCTACCGGCCAGCGGGGATGTGAAAGTCCTACACTCGAAATAACTCGGGCCGGGCCGTCAAGCCGTAAGTAGCCGCGCAGACCGCCACTGGGCACCGTGAAGACTTCAGTGGCCAAGTTGGTGCCACGCAGTTTCACAACCACTACGTAAGCCCACTTCGTTCTCCTAACACCCTAAGCAGGCACCGCTTCTCTCGGGTCTCCTTTCCGAAATCCTGCGACCCTGGTCGGTCAGTCTCTGACTCCGGCCGGTCCCGGGACCTCTGACAGCCTCCGCGCGGTCCGCCAAAGCCCCGCGTAGCGCAGCCAATCGGTGGCGCGGGGCGGGGCGTCGCCTGCCGAAGGTTCCCGCCCCGCTCCACGCTCCTTTTCTCCGCCCCGCCCCTCGCTACTTGATCTGTTGGAGGCCACCGGCGGCCATTTTGGGTTCGGGCGGAAAAGAAAAGTGTACGGTTAAGAAACTAAAATTTTAAATCAAGGCAAACGCCCATTCAATCCAAAACGTGATAGAGGTGATATCTCCACGTGATATAACCAACTTAGCTGCGGAGGGCCGTGATTGAAACGTAGGGCCGTCCTGGCGCCCACACTCAAGATGGCAGCGGCCTGAGAGTCACCTGTGCGGCGCTCTACCTCGGTTCCGGGTTCGTTCGCCTCAGTGGTGGCGTCGGGGGGGGGGGGGGGGGGGGGCGGGGGCTGGGATCCGGGCCGGTTCCGGGCCCGTCTCTGTGGTGTCCGAGAGACCCGACCCCGGAAGGTTGTGGCGTGGGGGCCGCGGCCGCACGGGGAGCGAGGGCGGTTGGTGTCAGCAGCAGCGAAGGGTCGGAGCCGGGGCCCTGCGCCTCCTCCCCGCCGCCCTCCGCAGGTAAGCGGGAGCCTGGCCGGGTGGGGCTGCCGTCGCCGGGGCGCGGCGCGGAGGGCAGGCCGGGACCGAGCCCGGGCGGGCGGCGGCAGCGGCTCCGTGCTGGGGCGGAGTTGAGGCTTCCGCGAGGTGAGGAGGTGGCGCCGCCGGTCTCCCGAGCCGCGTCCCGCGGGTGTGAGGCCCGCCTGGGCGCTCCGGCTGAGGCTGGCCCTGGGTCCCCCGAACTGGGCGCTAATGGCGTGTGAGTGCCGGGAGCGCGCCTGCAACAGGTCCGGCGAGGCCGGCCCGGAGGCGGGGGCCGCGGTGCCAGGCGGTGCTGCGAGCCATTGTCATTGCCACCTTTAAGCTCCGGCATCTGGGACCTGGATGACCTCGGTTAGTTGCTGGGAAGGACCTGGAGAGAAATGTTCCCCGGAGGAAGCCGGTTTCTTGGTGGGGTGTAGGAGCTGCCCAGTGACCTGGAGGAGGGCTTCCCTGATCCACAGGTGGCCGTCCGGAAACCTAAGTGCTGCCCCAGCCAGCCAGAGGAGGAAGACGGGCAAGCAGGGCTTCACTGGGAAGATGACGGCTGGGCAAGTCAGACCGGAGACCCCACCTTTTAGCGCAGAGAGTGGAGATGACAAATTTTGCAAAATATCTGTCATGTGGTGTTAGGATATCCTTTTTTACCTTCTCATGTCTTTTAATCTCAAAGCTAACAGGCAGTATTTTGTGTTTTTCCTGCAAACAAACAAACAAACAAAAAGAATCGTTTTGGGAATCCACGTGTTATTTATCTTACTTTCAGTAAGTTGATTTTAGCTGAATTATTTTTAAAGGTATTTATAGTAGTTGTACCTGTGCCTCTTTGGACAAGTCGTGTCAAGAGTTAGAATTACTTCTTTAAGCCATTCTCCGATGGCAGTGGTCGGTTTGAACTGTATGTAGGCTTTAACTACTACCCTGTCCACAGTCTGACACTGATGGTATTTGTCATTATTACCCATGCTTTCAGAACAGTAAAATGGCAGATTTTCTCTCAAGTTCCTCGAAAAATTAGTGCACCCTCTTTTAACTTGCAAGTGATGTTTCTTAGAACCCGGACCTAAAACACATGGCTATGAAAAATCTCTTCTTTAACACTTTCATAATTTTAATCAATTATAGTGGTATTCATGGTATTAAATCAAGGTTTAATAACTGTAAAGCCCTAAATCGTGGTAATCATCATATCTCTTTTGGGGACTAATATTAAACAGCATGATTTTCTGCCAAGAGGACATTGATTTACTTGCAGTTCCTTATTCTCAGTTTTTCCTTTATTGTGTATTGAGGTTGAAAAGCTAAATTTTTTGGCTGAGAGAAGGCAATTATGTTCGCTTCAGATAAACAGTTTCAAAGTGGTACTTCTGTAACCTTCCTCTAGTTTAATTAGTTTTTCACGCAGCATTTTAAAGAGAAGTAGAGTTTTCTTCTTATGAAATGGCAGTTGGTTTCAAAGAACCCGGACCCACGTGGGCTACTTCAGGGAATGGAGCTGTTTGTAGGTATCAGTTAGGCAGTGAGGGAAGTGAACTTGAAACTGGGGTCCTGTAGCCTTGAGCTGGAGTATGCTAAGTGCCCCTAAAACATGACCGTGCTCTTCTCCCAGTTTTTCTAGTCCTGCTGCCATCCAACTACTTCTGTCCTTGCCAAGTTTCTGCTTTCAGGTGGCCTTGGCTTGCCCAAGTCCCAGCCCACCTCATGGCATCCTTCACCTAGCTATGCTACTCTTAGATAGAAAGCTCTCTTTAAGTTCAGGTTCTTGGGGGAGATAGTGATCTGACCACTTCATCTCTTCATTCAGGCCTGGGTCCTACAGAAGGCTCATCTATGAATTGACTGCCCTTTGGCCATAGTTGCCACTGGACCCATTAACTGTGCCCAGAAAAGGGGAGGGTGCAAGAACCTAGTGTCCAGCTCAGCCTTCCCTATTCTGCAGGAGGTGGTCACACCTGAGCAGCACCCCCACATTTCCGTAATAGCAGAATTCACCTCACTTCTCTCTAGTACCTGTCATCCAAGTAGACAGGTGACTGTCGCCTGTGGTTGAGGTATGGCATTTTTAGCATTGTTTTTACTTCTTGTTCTTAGGATAAGTTGTTAGGTCGGTAGGAACACAGTGGATTTATTACAAAGCAGAATTAGTTCTGATGTTCAGAAACATGCTTGGATTTTGAATGTTTAATTTAGCTAGGTTTAGTCCTTGTACTACTTACTGTGATTCTTATATAATGGTGTATGTGGGTCTGTAGGCACTTCAGGTTCTGTGGTCGATATGTTTTGAGAGCATTATTACATGGATAATCTAGAAATTGTTGGATGAACCTCAGCAAGGTAGAAGAAAAATCCAAGTAGAGTCTATGTATATTCATTATTTGGTTTACATGTTCCCCAAAATTATAGATTTTTAACAGAAATATTTACAATCTATGTGGAATTTTTGGCTGTGCTATTTAGAACTAGCAATTTGCTTGCCACATGACTAGAATTAGAATTCTTTTATTTTTAAATTTTTTCATATTATGGTAAAGCCAGAACTAAAAACTGATTTCACAAATATTCCAGACATTTGTTGTTTGTCCTACACAGGTTTAAAAAAAAAAATTTTTTTTTGAGCAACATTGAATAATATTGAAATTCCCCCCAAAATATCTGATTCTCAGTTTCTCATCATAAGTGGATGAGCTGAGCTTTGTGACAGCTATTGCCTTCAGAATGTCAACTTCTCACAGTAGTTGCCAGTGTGCACATAGTAGGCCCTTTGCTGCTCCACCAATCCTGCTGCACTCCTGGTACCTCTTGCAACTCCGTGAATTTGTATCTCTGTTATAAAGAATGACATGTTCATATTGTAGAAGATTTGGGAGGTCTCTTGTGTTTGTGTATGCATGTATGTATGTATGTATTTTAAAGAAATTGTATTGAAGTATAATCATATAGAAGAGACTGAACATAACACGATTTTATAAGTTTTGACATTTGTAATCACCCTTTGGTATGTTTATAATCAAAATACTGAATATATCTACCCCCCACAAGTTTCCTCACACACCTTTGTTCCTCTGTGACCCCTCTGTAGGCAACCACTTACCTGTTTTCTGTGATGAAGCAGTTTGCATTTTCAAGAATTTTATGTGTGCGTGTTTTAGCTTTTGTGATTATACATTTTGCCGTTTCTCCCTTTTTTAAGCATAACTTTAAAGAGTTGTGAGACTGTACTTTTTCTTTATTGTAATTTGTATTTCTTCAATGAGTTATGTTTTCTTTCCCATTATTCTACTGCTCTTTTAATCTTTTCCTTGTTTCTATGATGTACTGTTAATGCTTTGTATTTTGTTTTCCTTTATAGTTACATATTAGACATACAGAAGTTCTATTGTTTTTGAATAACCAAGTTTTACAACATTTCCTTTGTGAGGCAGGATTGTAAGTTGATTAGAAATATGAGTTACCCTGTTTTATTTTTTGGTTGCTTTTCTAAGTAACTGAAAGTTCCTGTATGACGCGGGGTTTGGGTGAGTACGATAATTGCACATAACTGGTAGGTGATGTACATTTTCTCTGGATTTGTTAGGTGTTCATTAACAAGCATTGTTGATAACTTGCTGAGCAGTTAACCATTTCTGTTGTCAAATGTGCTAGTTACAAGGTTGCAGAAACAGTTTGGCTGTTTCTGGAGACCTTGAACAGCTCTGCTCCCATTGCAGATAGAATTCATGTTTGCAATTGTTTTGTCTTCTTTTAGATCCCTTTGGCTTTGAAGAGGAGCTGCAGTACCTACGGCCTTGCTGCCTAAGGGATGGGATCAGAGAACAGTGCTTTAAAGAGCTATACGCTGAAAGAGCCACCATTTACTTTGCCCTCTGGACTTGCTGTTTATCCTGCTGTGCTGCAAGATGGCAAATTTGCTTCAGTTTTTGTATATAAAAGAGAAAATGAAGACAAAGTTAATAAAGCTGCCAAGGTACCTTAATAGGTGATGACTTAATAGTTAGTGCTTTTTACTATCTTGTGTTCTGTTTTTTAAAAATGAAATTAATAGAGATCAAAGGAGGTAAGGCATAAGGAATAATATCGTTGATGGTCTGTATCAACATAGTTATCCTTATTTTGTGGGTTTATTTCCAACAGATACCATAACTGAACCCAAACCTCATTTGGTTTCTGTCATCATAGCTAATTTTTTTAATGAGAAAAGAAAATGATTTTTCATGGCTTATCTAAGAGGGAATTAATCTAGTTTAGCAAAAATGCTGTAAGCATTGTCATATTAATTAGTTTGTTGATGAGGAGCTTGAAAATAAAATATTTTAGGAACTTTGTCATGTTTTTCTTTTCCTGAGACATTGTGATGTCCCAGAAAGAGTTTTACACTGGTGTTTGGACAGAAAGAATGTTGGCCCTCGGCTCTAGTTCTTGCTGAGGGACCTTGGACAGGTTGCTAACTCTGGAGGCTTTAGTTTCCTCCTTAGGAAGAAGGTTCTTGTTTATACCTAGTCAGAGCTGCTCCCGGCTGAGGGGCCAGTGCACTGGCATGCTGTCTCAGCACTGTCAGGTGCCCTCACGTCTTACAGGAAACAGTTCTAGGGCTGGGGTTGTAGCTCAGTGGTAGAGGACTTGCCTCACATGCACAAGGCTCTGGGTTCAATCTCCAGTACCACCAAAAAAAGAAGAAAAAGAGATATAAGAAACAATTCTACCTTGGATTGGAATATCATTTAATGAAATAAAATAATCTCAAGTCTTTCATAATTAGAGAAAAGAAAGATGTTAGTTGATATTTCCTTGCCCTTTGGCAGACATTCATTTTATCTTTAGAAGTTTATAAAAGAAAAAGTACAGTGGTATTCTTTAATTAATTCTTGAGTGTTTACTATGTCAGGAGTACTTTCAAGTTGAGTTTAATATCTTTACTCTGTAAGAATTATGATCTGTATTACCATGAGTCACTTTTTGATATCAATTGATGTGAAACATTGATAGCTATTTTATATAGTTCTTTAAATGATTTTTATTTTTTTAATGATTATAAAAGGTTGTATTAGTAATATAATTTTGGCATTTTATTGGTCATAATAATTATTTGATTTTGTGTCTTAGGTTAAGTGTGAAATTAACAGTTATAAGATGGTTCCCTAGGAAAAAGACATGTGTAACAGTCTTTTCATTCCCTCATTTACTCGTGCATTTCTTCATTCACACATGCATGCTATGCTGGGATTAAACCCAGGGCCTCACACAGGCTAGGCCAGTGCTCCACCCCCGGGTTACACCCCTAGCCCAGAATACATTTTCTTGTAATATTATGTGGTAAAAAAGTATAGCTAGTTCTTTTGCTGGGTAATTTTGCCTTTTGGTAAAGCCACTTTTTTCTCTTTTATCTATCCCATCTGAGAATTGTTAATAATTTTTTTGATTGTAATTTTGCAAAAGAGACAATTTAGAAAGATAATAATTGGTTAATGTCTAACATACCTCTTGTGTTTTCTTCTAATAAGATTATCCCCACCACCACCGCCCCCCAATCCAGTACTGGGAATTGAACCCATGGGTGTTCTGTCACTCAGCTACATCCCCAGCCTTTTTTATTTTTTGTTTTGGAACAGGATCTCACTAGTTTGCCCAGGCTTGTCTCGAACTTGCCCTCCTCCTGCCTCAGCCTCCTGAGTTGCTGGGATTACAGGTGTGTGCCACAGCACCAGCTGTTTTTTATTTTTTTTAAATAACTTAATTGACCATATCCAGTCAGATACTAGAATTTATAATTTATAATATTTGTTAGTTTTTTCCTTCAGACTATATGATTTTTAAAAATCATATCCGGCATATGTACCCTGAAAGTCAAATAAACCAGAACATAAATTTTTTTAAATATATATATTTTTTAGTTTTCTATAGATTTTTATTTTCTTTATTTATATGCGTTGCTGAGAATCTAACCAGTGCCTCACACATGCCAGGCAAGTGTGCTACCACTGACCCCCAACCCTAGCCCCAGATCATAAAATTTTTAAAGGGAAAAAACCAAAGATCTACTCGTAATGTGTCAGCCATTCTGTAGCTTTGAAACTCAAACTTGAATCATGAAAATTTGAAATGGCAACAAAGTGATAAGGAATTTACATTGTCAGAATTCTACTTCTGATTATCCCACAAATTAGGTCACAGTACTTGAGACATATATAACATTCAGTATATTAGGTTTTAGGACTGTGATGTCCTCGATATCTGAAATTTTGAAGCAGTGTAGTTATCTCAACTCTCACCAGTGTTTGTGTTATTCATCCTGCCTTTGAAAGTTCTGATGACTCTTTTAAGCAGATAGTGTTTTCCTTGGCAAATATTATTGGGTAGTATTGTTCTTTCTTTACTATTATAAATTCAAAAAATGATACCGATAGTCAACTGTTATAAATAGATAAATATATAACTGTGTGTTTGTGGGTGTATGTAACTGAAATGCAAGTAGAGCTCTGGTCACAAACCAATATGAAAATATTTAGGCCCGTAAGATCTCATTTGGTCTTGAATTCCTCAGCTGTCATTAATAGTGTGATTTGCTTACTGGTGATTATGACTCATTTCTAACCAACAACCTGTTAAGAATGATAAATTCTAAGTCAGAATTTGGTTACGGTTGTTTGTTATAATCAGAGTGCTTAGTTGAGGCTTTGTGGTAATTACAAGCTGTAAAAACAACTCCTCAGTCTTCCTACAGGAATCACATATCTGGGCATAAGTATGCAGCTGTCATCCAAGTACATGATTTGATGTTCCGGGAGACACTGTGAAGGGCTCCGGCTGCATAGTGGAAGGGTTTGTTGAAGTATTGGAGAGCCTGCACTATGTGGGCGTGACCAGCTGTGTCTGCCATTGGGCAGGTGTTCTCTTCCTCACATTGACACGTTCCCTCTCTCCCTTTCCTTTTCCCTTTCCCTTATAGGCCTTTCTTACACTATTTACAACGTCCAATTCATTGTAAACCAACTTGCCATGTAGTTAACAGTTACAGAGGGTATCTCTTCCCCTCTCATGATCAGATCCTGGTGTTCTCACAGGGCTCCTGCTCAGTGTCCATTCAGAACTTAAGACGTATTTGTCTGTTCCTTAGGTATGATGCAGCCATCAGACAGAATTAGCCATATCCTGGTTCCCACCATGCTTCCCAGACCTGACTTTCTTGCTGTTTTTCCTCTGAGGCTTGTAGTCATCCACATTTCTACCCAGACTAATTCTTTATCCATTTTTTATTTTTCCTGAATTTTATTCCTAGTTTATGACCTAACCTTCAGACATGGTACGCAAAGACAGACTGTCTCTGCATCTTTGTCCCAGATGTGCATCTTTAGGGAAGAAGGAATAGTATTTTTTCCTGAAAGATTATTACTCTCCAGTTTAGTCATCTTAGCTGTTTCGTTATGTTTATTTAACGGTGTGAAAGTGTAGATTTTTTTCCTGTTTTTAAAGTGTGAAGGTAGATGTGAGCTATAGATAAGAACAGTTAACTTTATGTAGTTCTCAAAATGATGTAACAAATCAGGAGCAGAACAACAGTGGAAAGTTAAGCCTCTAAGGCTTGAATTAATTTCCTAGATGGTTGGGTCTTTACTGATTCCTGAAAATGGGAGTAGTTTATATTCAGGGCTAGACTCTCACACTGAGGAGCTCTGAATGGATAGACATAGGTAAGTACAGATAGCACAGATGTTGGGAGTTGTAATGTTGATATCCATTAGGAAGTGACCTTGCTCAGCTGTGTGCTTTAGAGGTGAGCGCCTGGAACAGGGAATAAATCCAACTGGAGTCCTAACTTTGGGGCACATGCATTCAAAACATTCAACAAGTTACCTCCACCAGAACAAGAGCCATTGATTTGCTCAATTGGGGTCACTGAGAAAATAACCAAGTTGCCCTCCCCAAGTGCAGCCTGTTCCCCTTGTTCTTAGAAGCAGCAGAAGGTTGACCCAAGAAACATTGTGATTTGATTAGCTGCTGGTCCTTCCTGTGAATCTGCATGGTCTTGCAGAATATTGACTATATTCAAGGGCAATGACAGATGAGGTTCTTGCTAAGTGTCTTGTTCAGAATCATGCAGTGCATCATTTCTTCCTCTTTTCTTTTATTATAAACAAGCAGGAACTCACTTTGGAGCAAGAATTTTTCTGGGGTATTTAGGGTAAAAAAAAAAAAAATTAGCAGAAGCAAAAGTGAAAATCAGGTGGCTACTTATTAACTATTCCCTGTTAACACTGAACCAGGCGGCTCCTACTGTCTATCAAGTGTCTATCCTGAGTGCTAAAAGGAGAACAAAAGAAGGGACCTGAAATCAAAGAAAGTGATCAGAGCTCTAAGACAAAACTGAATGAAGAATTTATCTTGAGCAGTCAAAAAGGAAATATTTCATGTTTGGTTTGAAAATTATTTGAAATGATTCTTAAAGTGAAAATTTGGGGCTGGTGTTGTGGCTCAGTGGTGGAGCGCTCACCTTGCACATGCGAGGCCCTGAGTTCAATTCTCAGCACCACCAAAACAAATAAATAAAACAAAAGTATTTTTTAAAAAATGAAAATGTGGTGACTGGGCATCCATGGTGCATGCCAGTGGCTGGAGAGGCTGAGGCAGGAGGATCACAAGTTCAAAGCCAGCCTCAGCAACTTAGTAAGTCCCTGCCTCAAAATAAAAAATCAAAATGGCTGGGAATGTGACTCAGTGGCTAAGCGCCCTCAGTTCAATCCCTGGTACCAAAAAAAAAAAAAAAGTGAGACGCATGTATGATTTTACATACAAACTAGCTCCAAACATAACTCTTGGGATGTTCTCTTCAGCTAACCACACTCATATGACCAACTGGCTAGCATTTTGGCTCATCTGCATATCTACTATGTTCTATTTGCATATGTGTGAATTGTTTTAAATGCACACAAAGGCACATATACCTCTAACCTCAGCAACTCAGGAGGCTGAGGCATGAGCTTCTCAAGTTTGAAGCCAGTCTCAGCAACTTAGTGAGACCCTGGCTCAAAACAGAAAATAAAAAAGACTGGGATATAGCTCAGTAGTTGAGTTCCCTTGGGTTCAATCCCCAGTACCCCCCAGATAAAATAAATGAATAAAATGAAAATTAAAATATTAGAGAATCCAACATGCTCAGAAGATTCCTCTGTGGAAGAAGTTTATAATAGGTTTGAGCCAGCTGATAGAAAAATTGTAGCAAGGCTGGGTTATGGACTCTGATGCTGTCCTCCTCCTTTCAAGGAGGTATTTAGAACATTCAGTATCAACTACTTACTTGTGAAAATGAAACCTAGTGTTAAATTGAAGGTTATGCTCTCAGTGAAATCCTCCTTTCCATCTCCTCCCAATCTAATGACCGGCTTTCAAGATTTCCCCCCTGTGACCTGAGGCTAGTACAGCGTAGACCTCAGAGCTTGAAGGTCATATCATAGCATTTCAGCAGTTTAAGTTTTGCTGTAAATAAATGATAAGTTATTACCTGGGGTGAGAATATTAGACTGTGGAACTCTTTAATTACTCAAGTAATTCTCATAAAATATGCATAGGGATTTTCCCAACAGGGCTGTAAAAGGGCCAACCAGAGAAGGAGAGACCCTACAGATTTAATTGACCCAGCCCCTGTGTTCAGACACAGAAATGGCTTATGCTTGTCAGGAAGGTGTGTTTACTGTCTCTGCTAAGGAAAGAGGTGAGGGAGGGGAGGATCGCATACTGAGGACTTCTCAAAATGGGGTTCCTGCTCGAGGTATTGTGCAACATTGCAGTTGTGGATAAAAAGCACTGGGAATATTTAAGTCTTTTGGTACTTTGTTTTGTATTTTACAGTATATGTAGTTCATGTAGAATATGAAAAAAATACATAGTATGTAGACCAGGCATGTTGGCACATACCTACAATCCCAGAAACTCGGGAGACTGAGGCAGGAGGATCTCAAGACAGCCTCAGCAGCTTAGAGAGACCCTGTCTCAAAAAGGACTAGGTATGTGGCTTAGTGGTAAAGTGCCCTTGGCTTCAATCCCCAGTATAAACAGCAACAACAAACTAGTATATATATATATATATATATATATATATATATATATATATATGGTACTTAACTGACATTATTTATTGGTGAGGAGTGTGAACACAAAAATGGCAGTCACTTTTATGTAGAATAAAAAAATCAAAAATTTAAAAGAGACTTTAAAGATTTTAAGGGGATTAAATAGGTGATAAATAAGAAGGTGAGAACAATATTAAAATGTTTTGTAAAAGAGTCACTTTTGTTAATGGTCTGTGGCAGGGTCTGCAAACTTTTTTTTTTTTTAGGGGCTGGGGATTGAACTCACCACTGACTCACATTCCCATCTCCTCCTTTTGTTTTTTATTTTGAGACATTAGGTTGCTGAGGCTAGCCTCAAACTTGTGGTCCTCTTGCCTTAGCCTCAGGAGTTGCTGGGAATACAGGTGTACACCACCATGCCCAGCTGGGGTCAGCGGACTTGAGCTCAGGATGGTTTTTATGTTTTTAAGAGGCCGTATGGTCTTCATTGAACTTCTTAACTCCGTAAATTAAGTATTTGGCTACATTTATGTTTTCAGCCATTATTTTTTTTAATGTTCCAATTCATTTTTCCTCTTGTTTGGAAGTTAAATTATCTGCATTAGACTTTTTTGTTCCTGATGCTCTCATCATTTTTTAGAAGATACTTTTTTTTTTCTCTGTTCTTCAGATTGGTTAATATCTTCAGGCTCATTAACACTCATTCCCTTAAAAATTCATGGCATTTCCACAGTCCTTTGTATGTTGGGTACAAATGTTGGGTTGCATCCTGAATGTGCTGCATAGACTCTTGGCTCTGTTGTGACACTCTGAGGATGTAGGTATATTTGATACAGCAGGGTGTTAATCCCCTTAGGTTTGGGCCTTGGGTTTTTGAACTACTCCCCTCTCACCCTTCCTGGGAATGCAAGTTCAGATCTCAGTTCTCTTCTCAGCACTTCGTTGCACCACCTAGGGTCTGTTCTGTGCCTGTTGTTCAGGGATAGCCTCCTGGCACTCCAGCCTGCAGGATTCCTCTCTGTGATTCTTCTGGCCAGAAGGATGGCAGGACTTTGCTGGCGGAGCCTTTGTCACCTCTGTCACGCCGCCTTCAGGGGATGCCTGCCTCTGCTGCACAGTGACAAGAAGAGCCAGAGCTCCCAGAGGAGAAGCTCGTCCCACACACATTGTCCTCCAGGCTTTTCGCCCCTCTGTTGCCTTGTGAGGGTTCCGGCAGTGTGTTGGGAATGTGTCGTGGTACTTCCTGGGAAGTCTGGGCACAGAGGGCCGGCACTGCCCTAAGGGAAGTGCAGGTCTGTGGGGTGATTTAGTTGTTGATAAGTTGAATGGAATGAGAACAGACTGAGATCCCCCTTGTCTTGGTGGAACTATGGGGAAGGGTAGGAGCTGGGGAGACCTGCAGGGGCGAGTGTGTGGTTTCCCTCTTCCCGAGTGTGCGTGAGGCTGCTCTGGGTCCAGTCGTCGGCTCCATCAGCTCTTCTGTTTCCGTTTTACAGCACTTGAAGACACTGCGTCACCCCTGCCTGCTGAGATTCCTGTCATGTACTGTGGAAGCAGATGGCATTCATCTGGTCACTGAGAGAGTGCAGCCTCTGGAAGTGGCCTTGGAAAGGCTGTCTTCTGCAGAGATTTGTTCTGGGATCTATGACGTTTTGCTGGCTCTCATCTTCCTTCACGACAGAGTAAGTGACCTGTACAGTTCCAGCTCAGGGGCTCTGACGGAGCCTGGGGGATGAGTGTGTAGTAGTGCTGTGAAGCATGGTATATGTGGAAGTTGTAAGAGAGAGCACACATTGAAAGGGCAAGATGGAGACGCTCCAGGTGGTCTGTGCAATGGGCAGCACATTCTGTCCCTGGGCAGTTATTGGTACAATTTTATATTGAGGTTACCGTGGTCTCCCCCTAGTTTTGGACAAGTCTTTACCTGAAAACAGCCTCAGCTGGTTCCTGGTTGTGTTTTGTTTTCATTGGTACCAGGGATTGAACTCAGGGGTGCTCTGAAACTAACATCCCCAGACCTTTTTATTTGATTTTGAAACAGGTCTTGCTAAGGTGCTGAGGCTGGCCTTGAACCTTCAGCCCTCCTGCCTCAGCCTCTTTAGTTGCTGGGATTTGAGGTATGTGCCACCATGCCTGGCTCAGTTGATGCTTGTTAAAACAAAAAGTTAATATTAGTGTTGCTGTAGACCACAATTCCTATTTGTTTTTAGGAATTTTGTGCAATTTTAAATTTTGAAGAAATGACCGTTTCTTAGAGGCAGAGTTTAGACACATCCTATCCCACTTGGGTGGGACCAATTGAGAGACAGCCTCTTAATACTGGAGTAGCCAGGCTACCTGGCCTGTGGTAACGTTTACTATTATTATGGTTCCTATGTTTACTTCTGATCTATGTCTTGACAATTTCATTGAGCTACTATTTCTTGTTTGTTTGTTTTCACCTCATACATGCTGGACAAGTGCTCTCATTGAACATCTTCCCAGCCCTGGAACTATAATTCCTTAATGATGTTTGCATTCTGACACATTCAGATCTTCAGCAGTTCTCCTTAATGAAAAAACACCAGTCTTAGGTTAGAGAGATTTGCATTTGACTCATTTCAATGCATGTTTTCATTTTTTTTCTATTTATGGAAGACAGACTCTCCAAATATTATGTGGGATGTATAACTCTTAAAAGCATGCTTACAAGTTCATATGATAACTAACATTGTTAAGCTTCTCTGGGGAGGAACATCTTTATTGGAACAAGGCATGCTGATAGTAGGACTGCCTGTAGGGAGAGTCCCTCTCCAGTCCTTCAGCAAATTCTCTCCAGAAGCTACTATGGTGATTTGTGTATTATTGCAGAGATAGTCTTTGGGCATATAAAGCAAATATCTTATTTTATTTTTCCTCAAATGAAAATACCATATATACTATTCTAAACTTTTCTTTATATATATTTTAGAGTGTTCTGTATAAAAATATGTACAAATTTGATCTCATGGGTAGAAAATTTAAAGAGCTCTTCCATCTACTGAAATGATTTCTGGTTGGGAAAATACTTAAATACTCAAACCCTGTTCTCACTTCCTCTTATTTGACTGAACTATTTTTTATAGTTTTAAAATCGACTCTTCTGTGGTCTGTGGGGCATTTCTGCTGGTCCTTCTCATTCCCTTTTCTTCTTCAGGCAGAATTTTTTTAATGCTTACTGATAAGATTTCAGGTGAAGTGGATCTGGGTTCATGATAGAATGTAGGTAAGAAAGAATTTAGAGCAGAAAATGAATAAAATAACCTATGAGGGCAAAGATAAATTTTATCTTTAAAGGCACTGGTGCAAGTGGGCTAGGCCACAGGACTGGTGGATTCGTGTTTAGGGACGCCTGGGTCTGGATTTCCAGGTGGGGCGTGACTGGCCTGTGCTGGCTGGGTGTCTTGCTTCTCCTGCTCAGCAGGCAGGGAGGGGCCAGGAGCCTCCCCAGGGCACTCTCTGCTTCTTCTGACCTCATTCCCTTGGTCGTTCCTGGAACGACCGACCGATAGTTTCCGATATCAGTCCACAAGTGGGAAGATCTTGTCGTAATCTTTTTTTGGTAACTAGTAGTTTTTTTAAAGACTTCTTCTTCAGATTTGGAGTGGCAGTCTTCTTCCTGTTCTTTTTTTTCCAGGGACACCTCACACACAACAATGTCTGCTTATCATCTGTGTTTGTGAGTGAAGATGGGCACTGGAAGCTAGGAGGAATGGAAACTGTGTGTAAAGTTCCTCAGGCCACTCCCGAGGTAAGCCAGGTGGTAGGCCTCTTTCCCCTGAGCACTGGTGGCATCCTCTGTGTGCTCTTGCCCTGGCACTGCCCCCCAGGGTCAGCGCCATGCTGGTCTGGAGACTTGAACTTTGTGGATGCCCATGTTCATGGAGTTGTAGGGGTTTATCCCTCAGGAAGCACTAGGGGTCATGTACTCTTCTCGTGTTATAGATGAGGAACCTGAGAATGAGGGAGGTGAAATGGTTTTGTTCAGACGTTTTAAGTAACCGCCTGCCTTTCTGCTCCTGAGCTGCAGTGCAGCACTTCCTTTGATCATGCCATTCACTGCTTCGTGTTGAAATTGCCTTTGTGTGTCTGATTCTGCCCAGCAGCTGAGCCTCCTGAGGGTAGCTCCTCTGACCTTACCTTTCTACCTGCACTTGGCCGAGTGCCTATCTCGCGTTAGGCATTCAGGGGTTGCTCCCTGAACATATGGTGTGTCCAGCGACTAGAGTTGGGACTTGTGCATCTTAACTCCTGGTGTCTGGGCTGCTGCTCCTGGGGTACAGCCTGTGGTTTTGTCGGACAGATCCACCTGCAGTTCTTTTTTTATTTTATTTCTTCTTTTCACCATTTGCATGTTTCTGATGGACTTACTCTCTCTAAAAAAAAGTGAAAACCACTCCCATCCCAATCCCCCTGCTGACGCGGTGGCTCAGTCTAGCTTTCAGCGTTTTCCTGCGTGCTGTCTGGCGCTCAGCTCGGCCTAGTCTGGTGGGCACCTTCCTGGACTCTTGATCAGTCAAATGCAGTACTGCCTGAGTCATCCCTCTTGGTGATGGCTGCCTTCTCTAAAGTCTCTCTCCTGTAGTTAGCATGGCAGGCAGCACGCGGTCCTGTGGGTTCGTCCCACAGAAGGAGCTTCTTGGGGTGGTGCACAGGCCCTCCACAGTCTTCCCAGCCCGCCTCAGCTCCACTCAGCACTTGGAGTGCTCCTGCTCTGCTCGCACTCTGTCACGAAGCCGGGCTGCTGCACTGGCTGTTCGCCTCACTCTCTTCTTGCTTGTTCTGCCATTCTGTTACCAGGCTGCCTTTCTTCCCCTGAACTCCCTGAAAAGTGCCAGCTCATCCAAGATCTCGCTTGAGTCTCCTCTCTGTGAATCCTTCCTGCGGGCGTTGTCCTACCCTACAAAAATCCTGTGCTTCACTTACTGAAATCCCTGATGTACCTTGTAGGCTGTGAGCATATGGTTGGGGGCAGGGAATTTGTGGCTGTCCTTTGCATTCCTAGTGCCCTAGATGGTGTTTATTGGATAAAAGCCCTTCTTTGATTAGGTGAATGAATATGCTCATTCTATAGATGTTAGTTTTGTTTCCATAGCTTATAAAGTTTCATGTGCAACAAGACTTTCACCTGATTTAGTGACAAAGACAAGATTGATAAGCGATGTATCCTGTGCTGAAAAGCCTTTTTTTTTTTTTTAAATGGGGTCTTACTGTGTTACCCAGTCTGGCCTCAAACTTGTGGACTCAGGCAGTCCTCTTCCCAGCTTCCTGAGTAGCGGGACTACAGATGCACACCGTCACCAACAGCTGAAGAGCCTTTTACTTCTTAATGTCTATGCAGGAAGAGAAAGAAGTATTTCTAATTTCTGTATAAGGAAATCAGATGCACAGATGCCTCTCGGCAGCATGGGGTGTGTGTGAACCAGCTGGAAGGCAGAGAAAGGGGACTGACTTTTATGTTCACTAAGAATTGCTCCGTGCCGAGTACTGGTTTACATTTTTTAATCAGGAAGATTTTAAATTTGCATATTGGATATGTGATATTGATGGAAAGGTTTCATTGCTGCTGTTTCTATTGCTCATGGCTTTTATAAATAGGTTTAAAAGGTTGCTTTGCCAAATGCGTAAGAACTGCTTTTCTTGATTTATTTTTCTGTCTAGTTTCTGAGGAGTATTCAGGCAGTCAGAGACCCAGCGTCTATCCCTCCTGAAGAGATGGTAAGATGATACGCGTCGGATGTGATGAAGGCCCACTTGTGCAACTGAGCAGAAAACCTCTCCCAGGCCTTTATTAAATTATGGATGCCTCGTGATTCCTCTAGCCTTGAGCTTCTGGGATTAATCTTACTACCACAGCCAGGGAGCCAGCTTACAGTTTTTGGCTGTATAGGTCCTGTGGTATTGTTTAGAGATGGAGTGCCCCGAGTGTGAACAGGGGATGTCATATCCAAAGCACACTGGCTTTGTACTTGACGGGAGCCGTGAGGTCAGGCTGGCCCTTTCCTTTGCATCAGCTCTGTCTTTGCATCCGTCTGTCCCGCTGGCCCTTGCTTGGGATTCCAGGATGTGTACAGAGTGGTTATTAATACCCTGGTTCTGGTGAAGAAAGATTCTATTCACAGACAAATTCAAAAGCAGATGCCCTCTGTAAGTTTTCTTATAATCACTATAAATGACATTAATCCCTAAAGACATGTTTAGTGTGCTTTATAGGAAATACAAACCAAGTATAAACTTAATATGGACCTTAGACTTAACATAAATCAGGTTTATTCATGGCATACACTGGTGTTTTTCAAACTGGTGATTTGTGGGTTTTAAGATAGTTTAAGGGTATCTTGGACAGTATTTTGAAAAAAATTAAAAAATAGAGTGAAAGAAATCGTTACTAGGCATCTTAGTATTGTTTTGTGAAACTCGTTTTCATTATGTGTGTGTTTGTATGCATACTGTATTATGTGTGCACACTGCATTGTAAGATTAACTTTTAAATATGTTTTTGAAAGCCACAAACACGTATTATGTTGTGATCTTTTATTTTCTTTTTGATCCTATTTCATATTTTAAAAATCTTTGATAAATTTCATTTGCTAATCATTTTTTAAAATTTTTTTCCAGTATTAAGTCCTGCTGTTTTTTTATTGGTACGTCTCACTTACACAGAATGGCGTGTTTCCTTGTGGCATATTCACACCTACATGACCATATTACTTGACCAGTTTCACTCCCCAGTACCCCCTGCACCCTCCCCTTGCCGGGATTATAGGTGTGTGCCCCTGTGCCTAGCTTATTGTTGGTATTCTTGATGACTTCTGGAGTGAGATGGAATGTCGGTGTAGTTTTGATTGCATTTCCCTGATTGCTACAGATGATCAACATTTTTTATATGGTATACTAGTAGTTTTTAAAGCTATAACTGAGTGTGTGGTACTGTGAAGTTAGATTTGAGTGTAATAAATGCAAACATGGGAGAGAGTTAGGAATAGTTTATAATGCTCTAGTTTTAAAAGTCTTTACTGCTTCTAGTCTCCAGAGTTCAGCCCTCTCCCGGAGTCCCACGGACATGCCCGGGATGCCTACTCGTTTGGAACACTGGTGGAAGGCTTGCTCACCGTCTTACGTGGACAGGGTGAGTTGGAGTTAATACTGCGTCCACTAAGTAAGAAAGTAATGCAGGCCTGCCCAGCGTAGAACTGGAGGGACTTCAGTCTTTGATCATAGTAAGGGACCTGTTGCTTACCGTGTAATTTGTTTAGAGCAAGTATCAACAGCAATAAGGAAACAAGCTTTGCATTTCATTAGTATCAGTAGTGAAAAGAATTTTAAGTAGGAAGCACTTTGAACTATAGCTTTCAGTCTCCTGTGATAACCTTATTGATAATAGTATTTTATGGTCTAAAGACTGTTCCTTAGTGAGCCAGCCAATAAGTAAATAATGCCATAATGATTAAGATATAGTAGTCTGAATAATAGAGTAAGACTCAAAAATATTTTCTTGTCAGGCTTAACATTTTTTAGTCTTTCAAAAGTTTTTTGGTTTATTTTTTCAAGCTGTAATCTGCCCACTGCTCTTTCCTTTGATGGCCTCCTGAGGCCCGGGCTATTAAAGGCATGGTTTTCTGTTGTCTGTCTCCATTCTCTCACGGCATGCTCGGCGGCCTGCATCACTCTCCAGTGAGTTTACGGAGGTGCATGCCATGCGGGGCCCCTTACTGGCCTCTGTGTCACTTGCCAAGCCTTCTGCAGTGCTGATGTCACTTCTTCTGCTAGGCTTTGGATGTCACCTCTTACCCCTAAATCGTCCTGGTCTGAATACTTGAACAACAAGGCATCCACTGTGTTCAGGGAACTAACTACTCTCCCATGCCCCTAGCGTGGGGACAGTTGTGTGCCATCCTTGGAAGAATTGAAAATAGTCATTCAAACAGTTGTGTCCTGTGGATGAGGAACCCTGGTTGAGAAAGCCCCTCCCACCTGCTGCTTACTCACTTCCTGGACCTGAGCGGAACAGCCAGGAAATGGGAGGCGTGGGAGGGGAGGCGCTTGGCCTGGCCTGGCTGTGTTGGCAGGCTGGCTCTCCACGTGCCAGGACCTGGGCTTGAAGCGAGCAGGAAGCAGTTCAGCGACAGCCGGGCTCTGTTTGTCTGGGCTTTTACAGGTGGCTTTGGTCTCACCAGTCTGCAGCCGTAGAGGCCCTGAGGAGGGCGAAGGCTGGACTAACTGTCGCTCTGGATTTCAGTTTCAGCGGACGTGCTCTCCAGCTTCCAGCAGACCTTGCTCTCAACTGTGCTGCATCCCATCCCTCAGTGTCGGCCGGCGCTCTGCACCTTACTGTCCCACGACTTCTTCAGGTGAGGGCCTCGGCGCTTCCCACTGCCGCCGTGGCTGTGGGCTGGGAGGACCAGAGGAAGCAGTCCCTGGTGCTGCTGATTATTAGGAGACTGACTGGTGTTCACAGGAGAAAAGAGGGAGAAGTTGGATCCGTCAGGTTCCCATCAAAGATGGAAAGTTTAGAAATTCTTGGATGCCACGGAGTTTGGGGTTTGGAAGTCCTCCCGCTTCATCAGGCTTGGTCATGAAGAAGCCGGCCTGTGTCCAGCGGCTCCCAGCTCCAAGCCGACTGAAGCAGTTAACAGACGTGGCCTCCCTGTTCTGCTGCCATCGTATGAGTGATGAGAATCGGTTATTTTGAATTTTTCTTATTGGGCGGGGTGTGAGTTCATTTTTCTTTAGGCAGAAGATTTCTCTCTTCAGTAATATGTGTGGAAGAACAAGAAAGTTCGTTTAGAGGGAGGAGTACAATGTAACTTAATCGTTTTCTGGATTCAGAGGTGTTTTTGAACTTCTCTTCAAGGTTTGTTTTAATTATATGTCCTTCATTTTTTATTTCCAAGACTGCAGAACTTACCAAGTTAGTTCCACACTCATAGCTTTTATTAGCAAAGCTAACTTTGTTGGTTTTGAAACTTAAGTATTCTTTTGTGTTTGCAGTTAGGGAGGTGAGGAGAAGCAGGGGGAAGGGGAGAGTTACCCTAGGTAGTACTAGGGAGTAGAACCTGAGTAAGTAAGTGTGTGTGTGTGTGGTTATTGGGATTCTTTGTCCTGTTTCAGAGACACTGTTCAAAACCTTTACCATTGAGTTGTTTGTTTTTTTTTTTTTTTTCATTTTTTTTTAATTGAAAAATACAAGAGGTATATATTCACCTTTATGAGTCTTTTAGCCACAGTATTTCCGTGATTATTATTTAATGATTATTATTAGTATTTAATGATTATTAGAATTCTTTATTTCCTTTGATATTAAAGTCCTTACAAAGAATAACCCTTCACATTAAACAGAGTCTCCCATCACTGTGTGATTAACAATATTCTGTTAAAAACTCTTCACATTAAACAGAGTCTCCCATCACTGTGTGTAATATGAGTTCTTTATTTAAAATTTCCTGTTAGAGAGGGAGAAGAAAGCCAAGAAACCAGCCCCACGCCCAGAGTGGGGAGGTCTGTCGGGAGGCAGGGCCTTGCCCCACCTGACGGGTGGCCTAGTTCTTGGATTTGGTTGAGACATTTGAGTGCCCTCTGCTCAGGAGCTGGAGTAAAAACAGTTGGCCCTCGGACATGTGTGTTTGCAGGGCTGTGATCTCCTTACACATGGTGTGTTCTTTATTTGCGGGGCAGAAAGTTTTGACAGTGTGAAAAAAACTTTACAGGTGAACTTTAGCCTAGAAATGTTGAAAAAAATCAAGAAAGAGGTGTGTCATAATGAGTGTAATACACTTAGGTAGTCTGTTGTGTCTTTTACTACCATGAAACACACATAAATCTGTGATAAGAGTTGAAATGTGTCGAAACCTGCACACAGACCATATGATGGTGCCACTTGCGGTTGAGATGTAAGCAGCTAAAAAGATGCAGCGTTAAATCATGAAACCAACCACAGGACATACCGTCCCTCCAACGACTGCATGTCACCTCCTTGTGCTGTTGCAGTGAGCCCGTGAGGTTCACCTGCCTGAAGTGACTTGTGAGACTGACCTCCATATAAGCAGTTCATCTCTACCAAATTGCATACTATAGTAAAGGTGATCTCAACGTTCTTATGTGTTTTCACCTTATACAATACTTATGATGTACAAAATATGTGTTATTTATGCTATCACTAAGGCTTTTGGTGAATAGTGGGCTATTAGTAATTCAGTTTGGGGGAACTCAGGAGTTATATATGGGCTATCAGCTGCCTGGGGGTGATGCCCTAACCCTGGGCTGTTTGAAGTCAAGTGTATGAGTAAGCCAGATCTGGAGGCCATTGGCAGTTGTGCCCACCAGGCCTGCTCTGACTGCTGTGCTCAAGCCCTGGGCCACTGTCCACAGGGCAGATGTGAGCAACACTTCCTTGGAGCCCAGGGTCCATAGCTTTGGGGCTCTGGAAACTACATAAGAAACTGACCTTGCCTTACCAAAAAAAAAAAAAAGACTAACTTACAGCAAGAAAAATGAAAAGCTTCCTGACTTTTACAGAAATCCCACTTTTCCCAGTCAGTCCTCTTTCATGGTTTTACTTCATCAGAGGAGAATTGGGAATCAACACATATTTTGTAATGATAATGTCATTTCTTCCAGGACATTTCATTTAACAATATCCTGTTAGAAAAAAACTTGGAGGATGATTGTGACTTTTAAGACCATTAAGCCTGTTAGCATATGTGCGTTTGTATCGTTTATATCCTCTTTACAGATCTCTCATGTTCTTAAAATATTAGATTCCCATAGTCTTTGTCTCATAAGCCATTTGGAATCTTTTAAATGGCATAGAGAATGTTTCTTTGTTGAAAATTATAATGGTGCAGTCTTTGGTTATGGCTTCAATATTTAACATGCCTACTCTAATCTATTGTCCTACATTATTTTTTCTTTTTGGCATTTAGAAATGATTTTCTAGAAGTTGTAAATTTCTTGAAAAGCTTAACATTGAAGAGTGAAGAGGAGAAAACTGAATTCTTCAAGTAAGTTGAGACCTTACATTTACTAACTTAGATTTAGTCCCTGTAATCACTTGAGGAGATCTGGAGAAGGTGAGGCTGTCATTTTATTTATTTCAGAACATTATTGAACACTTCCTACATGCCTGGCTTTCTGCGAGGCCCTGGGGTGGCGGCCTGGTGAGGGAAACAGATACCCGCCTGCTAGTGCTTACACAGGGGGCGAGTACAGCGGGAGAGCTTGGCGGGAGCTGTGCGAACCAGGACGGGAGCAGGTGCTCCAGGAATGCTGTTCAGATGGGGCCGCAGGAAAGCAGGCACCAGGGCAAGACCCAGGGTGACTCCTGTGGGAAGCAGGCAGCTGCCCTGCTGGAGGGCAGAGTCCAAGGCCAGGATAGGCAGGAGGCGGCTCTTGTTCATGGCAGGAGTGTCCGCACACAGTCTGAGTATTGTGTGCGTCGGGCACTGGGTCCGTGGAGGGGTGAGAGCATTAGGTGGACCCTGGGTGAGACCTTCCAGGAACATAGCGAGAAGGGTGGCCGTCACACTGAAGGAGCCAGTGTCAAGGAAGGGCTTTCTAGGGATGGAAGAGAGGTGAGAAGGGGATGCTGGGGCAGAGGCTGGGCGGGGTGGCCTTGGGAGGAGGTGTGGGTGAGGGTGGGTACAGCCCGCCGTCCGTGTTGGTGTGGGGGTCTGAAGGGTCAGGTTGATGGTGTGGAAGTTACAGATGTAGACAACGGGGACTCGCGTGAGGGGGCTTGCTTCTAAAAAGATGGAGGCAAGGTTATCTGTTAAGGGTGGTTATGAGGAGGGATATTACTATCTTATTTCTCAATAGAATGCTTTTATGTATGTTTTAATCAACAAGGTTAGAAATAAAAGCCTGTATTTTTGTTTACTGTGAAAACTTTAGATAATGGAATATCTTGCATTTTTTAAAATCTGAGAAAGTGTCTGTATCTAGGAAGCCTCTGGCTATCAGGGGACCTGGGGGACACTTTGGCCACTTATCACTTCATTATAAGGGGTGATCTGTTGCGAGAGCTCCCTAGCTTGGCGAATAGTGTGGCAGCTGGCTGGCCGTGGTCACACTTACTGCATGTGTCTCAGGTCCTGGAGACTGCCCGCTCCCCTCACCTTTCCCAGCTACCTCTGGAAGGGCACCACTTTGGTAGAAGTGGGAGGGAGGCTGCGTGGAGCTGACCTGTGCAGGAGAGTTGATAGAGTGTCGCATTAATTTCCCAGGCTTTCCTTTGCTTTTTTTCCTCAGGTTTCTGCTGGATAGAGTCAGCTGCTTGTCAGAGGAATTAATAGCTTCGAGGTTGGTACCTCTTCTGCTGAATCAGTTGGTGTTTGCAGAGCCAGTAGCTGTCAAGAGTTTTCTTCCTCATCTGCTTGGCCCCAAAAAAGGTGAATTCTTTTTCAACGTGGTTTTGGTGATCAATAAATTTTGTGGCTGTTGGTCCATTTTGGAGCAAAGTGAAATTACTGAATGGTTTAGTTCAGTGTTGGTTCTAAAAGTAGAGAGCAGTTGTTGGCTTCTATGGATACCAAAGCCCACAGGATAAACATGGAGCACCTTCCTCAAGGGTCAGGTTGATGGTGTGGTAGTTACAGATGTAGACCCGTGGGACTCAGGTGGGACACCCTGGGGAAGGTCTAAGGTAAGGTGTGTACCTGCAAAGAACTGTCGCATTTGCTCTGAGTCACTTAGGTGTGCATCCCTGACTTTCCAGAGCAACCTGTTTATTTTCAGTGAGGAGGCTGAAAAATCACTGAGCTCAGTTTACTACTTGGCTGCAGGTTTTTTCCTGAATGTGGAATGGGATTATTGCTTTGAAACGTTATAACTTGATAGCACTAAAGGGGGTAACACATCAGGTTAGGAATGCAGCATTAATTTTACACTACAGAATTTTTTAACTAGGACCTGCTTTAAAAATTAATTTTCTTAAACAATTTCAGTTCAACAAATTATGTTAAACCCAGTGTGGTGGGAAGTTGTTTTATCTTTTTGTATCTCTTATTCAATGTCATTCCTTCAAACCTTGGATTGTCCTTCTTAGCTCTTCCATTCTGTTACTTGGTGGATCTCAGACAGGGGTGAACCTCTGAATCACTTCATTGCTTCTTTTGAACGCTGATCTGTTTGCCTGTTGCTCTGGGCCGGACTGAGTCAGGACATGGGCATACCCACTGAAAGGCCCCGATGGTCCTCGGCATTCCTGTTTGATAACTGTTCTCATCACTGCCATACTAGATCAAAGCTCTTGGCAGCACTTAACTGCTTCTAATTTTGTAAATATAATCGCAATGATATGGTATGTCCCTGATCTGATCTAGTATGAGAAACTCCTCACTGATTGAACGTAAATTTATCAAGTTGCTCATTCAGAATCCTGTTGAAATACAGGCTTTCTGTGTGTTGTGAAGTGTGCTCTCCACTCTTTCAGAAACATTTCCACAGTTAAACCTGGAGTGGTTTTAGGTCGATAGAAGAGCCCTTCTTTGGCGTGGGGCCTAAGAATTGAGAAGAGTACTTAGTACCTGTGTTCTGGGCTGTTTATGAACTGTGTTCAGGACTCTGCACTGAAACCATTTACTTTCTCACCTGTAACCTCCACTTTTGGGGGTAGATAATGCACGGGGAGACACGCCTTGCTTGCTCTCGCCAGCCCTGTTCCAGGCGCGGGTGATACCCGTGCTGCTTCAGCTGTTCCAGGTTCACGAGGAGCACGTGCGGCTGGTGCTGCTGTCTCACATCGAGGCCTACGTGGAGCACTTCACTCAGGAGCAGCTCAAGAAAGTCGTCCTGCCGCAGGTCAGAGACCAGGCCGGCCGTGGGGCCAGAGCCTTCCCAGGCCGTGAGAGGGAGCGGGCCAAGGGTGCTGCTCCTCTGGGGGCTGGAAGGAAAAAGAGGGTTTGTGGTGAAAGCCTTGGAGGCAGCAGCTTGGTGCGAGGGTCTCCTGGAACGCTGACGGCTGAATTAAAACCGCGTTCCCTTCCCCTCACACAGGAGGCCCTGGAGCCTGTGGCCTGTTGGCCCATCTGTTCGGCTTTACTGGGGATTGAACCAGGGACCAGGGTGCTGTACTGCTACCACTAGCTACATCCCTGGGCCTTTTTTTTTTTTTTTTTTTTGGAGACAGACTCATTAAGTTGCCAAGACTGGCCTTGAACTTGTGCTCTTCCTGCCTCATCCTCCCAAGTAACTAGGGTTATAGGTGTGCACTACCACACCTGGCTCATACTTGGTCTTAATGTGGGAGAAACTAATTGTTTGCTAATTTATTTTTTGGAGAAAATGAACAAGAATTATTTGGGGAACATAAACTATGATTGTCCACAAGTTATTGTAACATAATTATTATTAATGAGAGTATTCCTGTCGGTGGTTTTCAGACTGCTTATCACCAACAGGGAACCTTATTATCTGCCCACCCAAGGGTCCAGGCTTGTACCAATTCCCTGTGGCTGCCGTAACAGCTCATCCGGCCTGCATGGTGACAGCCACAGCAGCGCAGCCAGCTCTCCGTCCCAGAGTCTGAAACCAGGCTGCCGGCAGGACCAGGCCTCGGCAGGCTGTGGGCGAGGAGCCTCCTCTGTCCCTTGGGAGCTGAGGTGCTCCTGGCAGTGCTCAGCAGTTGGCTTGCGGGCACATTGCTCCATCCTGCCTGTTGTCACCTAGCTGCTCTGTGTCCCAGATTTGCCTCCTGAAAAGGTCACCAATCTATCAGAAGGACACCTGATCCACTATAACTTCCTTTACAAATCACATTCTATATAGTTATGAATTTATAGGGGTGCTCTTCAACCCAGTACAAGGCTTAAAAAAAAATTAAAGATACCAATTCCATGGTATCTCTCAAATAATATTCCTGAGATTAACACTCCCCGTGTTCAGGATCTGATAAGCAAGAAGGATGTTTCAGTTGTCTGTCGCTGTGTATCACAGCACCTCCAAACATGGTACCTTAAAACGATGATTCATTTTATTAATCCTCTTGATTCTTTGGGTTGACAGGACTCTCCAGAGATCCCCATGATGTCAGCCATGGGCTTCAGTCATCTGGGCCCCCCAGGCTGACACATTCAGGATGGTCTGTGACCTGGGAGAGGAGGGTGAAGGCTAGGCTAGCGGGGGCTTTGGAAGCTGGACCTTTCTCTGAGTGTACGAACTCTCAGTCACAGGCCCTGTCCCTCCGTATGACATTTCCACATGGCTCTTCTAGTAAGGAAGGGGGACTTATTTCATGGCTGCTCTTGGCTAACAGAAGTCATTTATGCCACATCCTCCTGGTTAAAGTGAGTCACAGAAGTCCTTCACTGTGGGTCGCTGGGGAGCTTGGTTACCACAGCCTAGACCTGTGTTCATACCTGCAGGTAGCTGGAAGATAAAGGGTGTCTGGAAGATTTCTAGCTCTGGAATAGATTTGTCCTAGGCCTTAGATTGGGCTGTGGTAGGAATGTGAGCAGGTGTTCGGCAAGCAAAAGATGACAGAAGCTCTCATGTCTGGAACACTGCTCCCGCTGCAGGAGAATGGCTGGGACGCTTTCTGAGTGCTGGAGAGTTCACTTTGGTAGCAGGTGCAAGTGGACCGTGAAGGGAGATGAGCTGGGAAGCTGTTGGAATAGTCATCTGAGAGAGGGCAGGACGGGGGCAATGTGGCAGCAGACATGGAGGGCACAGAAGGTGGAGGGGCAGGACTCTGGTTCCCACTGGATGGAGAGGTGTGAGGATGATGGGTCTGGGGCTTGGGTGATTGTGTGATCCCAGCACCAGTCTTGCACTCAGATGCACAGACATAGGCTCTAGTTCAGCTCTGCGGCCTGCCTGGAGAAGTGCCTGGTGTGTTGGCACTAGTCCCAGTCTTGCTAGTCCTGCTGGAAACCTGGGATCCCCGTGCCGCCGACTTGGGGCTGGAACCCAGCACTGCTGATACCCGAACCTGCCTTGTGTCTGGTCGGCACAGATGCTTTGCAGGTCCTCCTCTTGTAGGGCAAAACCTCTCCTGATATCTGACTGTCTTAGTTAAGATGCTTTGGATTGCAAGTAACCAAAATCCATGTTAAACCAACCAAAGTAAAAGGAATTTAGTGAAAGGACGTTGGGCTACGTAAGTGGAACCCAGTGCCACAAAACTCCCCGCTGTGTGAGCCCCACTCTTTTTCTTTCTTTTTGCATCTTTCACTTTTGAAAATGCTCTGAAGACCAGCTTTCATTGTCCTGGGGTGCATATGGCCAAGTGTGGTTGTCCGTAACTTCCAGGTTACTGTCCTCATTTTAACCACAGAGCTAACCAGTTTCTCCACATTCCAGCTTAAATTACCAGGCAAGAGGGGCTGGGGTTGTGGCCCAGCGGTAAAGTGCTCGCGTGGCATATGCGAGGCCCTGGGTTCAGTCCTCAGCACCACATAAAAATAAATGAAGGTATTGTGTCCAACCACAACTAAAAAATAAATATTAAAAATATTAGCTCATTTTGGGAGCAGGTGTTATCTGTGTCATATACAAAGATGTCCAAGGTTCCACCCCTGGATGTGTAGAGCTGGAAAGAGCGGCAAGGACCAGGAATGGACTATGAAGTGCCCAAGGTGGGTGGTTCTGAGTGTGCTCGGCAGCACATGGCCAGCCAGAGCGTTAGTTTCTGCAGTGAGTTGAGTTCAGAGGTGAACAGTTAACACTTAAAATTGCTTTTGTAGCAATTTAATAGAGTAATTTTGTGTTGGTTTCTAATGTTATTTAACTTTGTTTTGATTTTATTTTTATTTAGTTTTGCAGGTGAGGCACTGGGGACTGAAGCCAGGGGTGCTTAACCACTGAGCCACATTTCCAGCCCTTTTTTGATGTTTTGGGACAGGTTTTCACTAAGCCTTTAGGCCTCATTAAGTTGCCAAGCCTGGCCTCAAACTTGCAATCCTCCTGCCTCAGCTTCCTGAGTTGCTGGGATTGTAGGCGTGCAAGTATGTCTGGTTCATCTGAGCAAGCACATTCTGAGCGCAGCCCAGTTGCTTGGCTACAGAGAGGAAAGACAGATTCTGTGGTCATCTACACTCCTTTCCTCATTGCCTCATAGGTGTTACTGGGCCTGCGTGACACCAGCGATTCCATTGTGTCAATTACTCTTCATAGCCTCGCAGTGCTAGTCTCTCTACTTGGACCAGAAGTGGTTGTGGGAGGAGAAAGAACCAAGATCTTCAAGCGTACTGCCCCAAGTTTTACTAAAACTGTTGACCTTTCCCCACAAGGTAAGAATGATTGAAAAGTCTAGCTTTTTTTTTTTTTTTTAATTGGATTTTTAGTGTTACACAAATAAAACAGGAGGGTACATTCAGTTAAATGATACAAAGAAGTATAAGGAAAAGGTTGTTTCCCTTTCCTGAGTCCATGTAGGGGTGGAGGTATCTACCTTTCATATCTTTTTTGAAGCCCACACAGGGGCATACATAGATGGATTGTACACATCCATTTACATGGCGTCTGAGGGAACCGAAACAGCACCACACACAAGGCCGCAGCCTGCTTTCATGGAGGGACTCGTGTCCAGTCAGCACTTACCCGTGTGGATCATTCTTGGATAACTGCCTAATAGTTCATTGAATTTAATTCACTCTCTCACCTATTGACTCATGGATAGCACAACTATTTCTGTTTTTGTTTTGTTTTTAATTTTTTTTTAAACTTTATTTTATTCATTTATTCATTTTTAATGTGGTGCCGAGGATCAAACTCAGGGCCTTGCACGTGCGAGGCGAGCGCTCTGCACTAAGCCCCAGCCCCAGCCCTGTTTCTGGGTCTTTGATCACCATAAGGAGTGCTGCAGTAGTCACCCTGATGTGTGCATCTTCGTGCAGTTTGGGTGTCACGGCAATAGAATGTTGTCTTAGCAGGAGACCCCTGAGATGGAGGCATTTTACATTCTAGTGGACAACATCGGTTTCTAGGAAGATCGAAGTAGTTCTTTTTAATACTACACATTTTAGTTCCTTTGATTTTTTTTTGTTCATCTATTGGGTGAAAATCTGTTGATTCTTAGATACTTAAAAGAACTTGGTGTCAACAACATCATTGCTTTTTTGTTACTTTGTATACCTTGAATAGGGTGGAATTATCTAGCTGTTGACGTTCTGTATCCTGAAGTATTCAGATACATGATCCAAGCTACTGTGTAGTCTTAATTATTATCTTTTTAAAAATTTCTATTCTAATTATACATGACGGTCGAGTGCGTTTTGACACACCATACATGATCACAATATAAAATTCCTGGTATCTAACTCCGTTCTGATTGTCAGTAGATAGCATGGGATGGTTAGCCGCAAAGAGCTTCATGTAGGCCTTTGTCTAGTATTGACACCAACCCAATCTTTAAAGCAACATTGGTTTCTGAAGTTTGGGGAGTTCAGTTATTCTTAGTGCTGATGAAACCAGGGTTGCTGTGGTCAAAGGGGTGCCAGGGACACGGCCAGAGATGCTCTTGCCTACGTTGTCAGCTGTGAAATGTACATACTGAATTCAGTTGGTGTTGTTACCAATTCTTTTAGCAGATTACATCAAACAGGAGAGGTTTATTTCTACATCATAGGGGCTGCGGGCATAGGATAAGACTTGGGGATGTCTTGGGGCATGTTTGCACACTGGTTCTGTGAGAGCTCCCACTCCTCACATCTGTCTTATAGGGTGGAGTTATCTACTATTGACATTCTGTTTCCTGAAGTATTCAGGTACATGATCCAGATTACTGCGTAGTCTTTTTATCTTTCTAAATTTTATTTGTTCTAAGTAGTTATACAGGGATGCGTTTGACACACCATACATAGAGTAGCATTGTGTAGTCTTAATGAAACACCAGAGCAGCAGTACCAGATAAGAATCTAGAGGATGGAGAGGTGTAATCCTGGTGACTGAGTTGGGCTCCTCATTATGAGACCCAGTGAGCCCTGGCAGCAGCCCGTGTGCCCAGCTTAGAGTCAAGTGCAGCTCTTCTGTGCAGTGACGGGGGCTGCTGAGGAAGAGACAGGTCTAGGGATACCTCTTAGACGGTACCTGCATGGTCAGACTTAAAACAAGGGCTGATGTTGAGCTTCATGACGGGTTAGTCCTTCTGCCTAAAAGGAAGCCATGGACCTGCTCAGAGGACACTGGGCAAGGGAAACAGGAACTTCCACAGGGAGACAGTGGTGCCAGCAGAGGGCAGGCTGGGCGTGAAGGAGTTGGGGGCTTGCCAGTCGTCGTTCACCCCAGGCCCTTCCACCCACCCTCACTTCAAGGCAGAGGAAGAACTGAGCCAAGTTTTGCTACCATCTTTTTGACCAACATCCAATAACAACATTTTGGTAAACTGTAAAAGACATTTTCTTGAAACACCTCCACCCCCTTGGTTTGGGGTTAAATATTCAGAACATAAAATTCAACCATTTTTAAGTATATACTTTTGTAGTATTCAGTAGATTCATATTGGCTGTAACGTTTTTGCTAGGTATCCCAAAGGTTGTATTTGTTTAATGCTGGAATCCCTTCTATTCCATCACCACTGTGGAGTGCACATAGGGGACAGGCTATCTGTTCCACGACAGGATCGTGTCCTGGAAGGTGTTCTCTTCCATCTGTGTTAGTTAAAAACACCCATTTCCTCTAACTGCTGCTCATCAAACGTGATAGATCTAAAAGAAATTTACTAGCCCTTTCATTTTTTGAGTTTTTATTTACCTTCAGATTCTCCCCTGCACGTCGGCTGCAGCCAGCACAGTCAGATCTCGCCAGCCTTGGAGAAACCCTCTAGCATATTCCCTAAGTGTTTCCTTTCTGGCAACATGCCCATCAGCAGCAAGAAGTCCATACAGCAAGATTACTACAGTACTCTTTTACAGACAGGTAGAAATACTAAATTTACAGTTTCCATTGCTTGGATGAATGTTTCTTGAGAGTAAAAAAATTAAGTTTAAATTCTGAAAATTTGGTTAGTGGTCTCATGTTATCTCCCCAGACTTTTGGGTATGTTTCTAGCCGCCTCCTGGTTACTGGTAAGAAGAACGAGTCAACATTACTTGTATTCTTTTTTGCACCACATGCTTTACTTGGGGATTTGATGCCTCAGTGCATCTTCCAAATTGTACCAAGAATGATGGTACCCAAAGATGTTAAGGGGCATGCTAAGAAAGGGTTCTGCGGTTAAAATGTTTGGGAAAATGGTAGCAGAGCTGACACATTGCCTACGGTTTCTTAGCACCCTAACTGTACTTGTAAGTTAACATGTTAGGCAAACTTATTTGAGTACACTTTTTTCGAGGTGTATGTATTTACCATCTTGACTTGGCTTAGGTATTTGTATACTTATTTATGGACAGTTATGCCGATAAGCAAGCAGTATGTTTGGATTATTTCGTCCTTTACTAAATATCCAGTTTGTTACATGACATGCTTCCATTGAATTAATAGTATGTAAGTACTGTACAGGAAGTGGGTAATTTGTATGGCATCTTTGGTGTTACTTGCTGCAGGATCTCTTGTTGGTTTGGTGTGCATGGATAGGTCCAAGTGATCAGAGCTATACCGTATTATGCTAATCCCCACCCCAACCAACATATTGCCTGTTCTTACCATTTTGTGAGAATTCTTGTACATATCCTCACAGGTGATCAGTTTTCTCAGTCTGTTAAATTTCCCATGAACGGAATCTCAGATGTCAAAAGTACTTCAGGAGACAGTGAAAATTTCCCATCAGACCCTAAGAAGTCTGAGGAGTGGCCTGACTGGAACGAGCCTACGGAGCCTGAGAACCAAACCATGGGCACACAGATCTGGCCTCCAGAACCCTGTGATGCTGCTGCCGAGGAGCCCAGAAGTGGAGGGACTGGAATAAACCTGGGAGCTGGGATCCCCGCTGCAGTGCCTGTGACTTCAGGGGAGCAGACGCCCATCCCTGCTTCACTGCCCCTCATTGAGGAACCTACACCTTTGAAATCAAGCCCACCCCAAAAGATCAGTTTAGCACAGAGTGACCCGGACAAAATCAAGCCACCAAAAGTGCTGTCACAAGAAAGGCCCCTTAAACTTCCATCTGAACTTGGCTTAGGAGAAGAGTTTACAATCCAAGTGAAAAGGAAGCCAGCACAAGACCCTGAGTTGGACTGGTTTGCAGACATGATCCCAGAAATTAAGCCTTCAGCCACGTTTCTTATTTTACCTGAACTGAGGACAGAAACAGATGATGTCTCGCCCGGGATGCAGTTTTCCTCAAAATTTGCTGCAGCAGAAATGAGTGAAGTGAGTAGTATTTTTTGGATTAAGCTGCTATTAATATTAAATCAAGGGTTTTCCCTCAGGTCCCAGTTCATAGTACCCAGCACGTTTTCCCAGTGAAAGGAAAGAAAGATTACTGTACATGGTGGTTAAAATGTTCAAGCTAAGCAAGTTGGTTCCTAGGAACAGCATTCTTTTTTCCCCAGGAGGAGGTGCCTGGGCACAGTCTTAGGCGATCTGGTTGTCGCATGAATAACCTTTTAACAAGGTTAAGCAAAAAGTAGTGTTACTACTGGATTATAGGGTTGTGAAAAGTTCTTCCAGGGCTGAGGTTCTCCCGTGCTGGAACCTAAGCAATCTTGCTTTTTCAGCTTTCACTTAGCATGAAGCACTATATTCTGGCATCAAAAAACAAGTGCTGGGTCTTGAAAAGTTTCCACATGTGGATATGATTTGTTCATTGGGTTGCTGTTGGTGTGCTTTGTTGCAGGCAGAGGCTGAAGGCTGGGGAGAAGAAGGGGAGCTGAACTGGGAAGATAATAACTGGTGACAACGGGTATGAGCTGAACTTTAGGAGCAATGATTCCTTTAAAAAAAAAAAATCAATACCTCAAAACCAGGCTGTGTGGACAAAACCCTTTTGCAGCCTGTGCTTCCTATGCCAGGAGCTCTCTTCACAGTCTGTGCCAACTGACGTGAGACCAACCTCAAGTGCTGACTGGACGCGCGGAGTGGTCGGGAGGCTCAGCACAGGTTCCTGGGAGGAGGAGCCCGTGTGCATTTGACTGAGGCCAGTTTCCCTGAAGAGCAAGCGGGTGAGGCCAGGCCAAGTGGACTGCCTCTTCCAGGACAGTCCTGGAAGTCAAGACGATAAATATAAAACCCCAAACTGGTTAGCTTAATTTTGTGCCATTTCTTGAACAGTGAGAAGAGTAGTAGTCTATTATGAAAATATGACTTAAAAAAATTTAGCTATAAATTATAAATGATTTAAATTGCTAAGGTCACCTTAGGCAGCTTATTTATTTGTTTACAGTAGTCCTGAGTAAAAGGCCCTTTGTGGACCTGGGCAGTCACCGACTGTTCACGTGTATTACATTGTACCAAAGTTCTTAATGAGAAATATCCCCCACAATCCTGTTCTCTACATGTCAATAAAGACTATTTTCACTAGATTCACCTTTACAAAAGCTGTTTTATATGTACTAGAAAATGTACAAACATAATTAAATCAGTGTTTTCATTTACAAAATGTCCTGGGAACTGAGAGAGGATCAGGCTTGGTCCTGTCTCCCGACGATGCAGATGGTCAAGTTTCACCCTGGAGCATGCGTTTCACCTTCTCGATCCTTTCTTGCAGTGTCTCCACTTCCACTAGAAGCCAGGCTGGAGCAGGAGCCTTCTGCAGCAGGGACTCTGTTGTCTGCAGGGCCCCTGCTGCTACTCGCAGTGCCTCCCTGTGCTCTTCTTCCAGGGGGACCTCCTGGCGGGCTCTTTTTGCACAAGGCTGGAAAGGAGAGAAATGTGAGACCATAATGCCCATTCTAAAACCCCTCCTCGTCACTGATCACAAGAACAGGAGGGCAGGAGGGCCCTTCACCCCACCTGGTTATCTATCTGGAATGCTACATGAAGATGCTTTGGTTTGTCACAGAATTCAAGATGTTAGTTACTACAAGTGTCCTGGTTTGTTGGGGGTGTACAGATCCTGTCCCAAAGGGCTCCTGATGAGAAGTGCTGCCCAGATCAGTAATTCCAGCAAGCACACTTTATACAGAGCCAAGTCTGTCTTAGGGTCCCCCTGCCCCCACCAACACTTGTACTTAACTCGTTAAGAAAATGTCAGACTTCTACAGTATCATACATTGCACAGGGACGGGGATGAAGGGTGGGGGCCAACAGCTTCCTGAGGAGTGTCACAATAAATACATAAGGGACCTATTTCTACAACTAACATAATTGCACTTCAGAGATTTCAGAGATAAAAGTTAAATGTCTTACAGACAAGTTATCACCATAAACTACTGTTAGTGACAACTGTGACTAAAACATTGATCCTATTATATAGCTTATCCTTCCAAATGTATTTATAGTGTCCAAAACAATATTTTGAATATTAACAGTAGTGTCAACTTTCTGCTTTTCAGTAGGTAAATGTGATTCTTAACACACACCCAAAAATTATTAAGAGACTGGTTTGATGAATGAGGCAGGGACTGTCTAAACACTTTAAAAGGCAAGTGGTTTCTTTTGTGGTTCAACAACTACATTCTGTGTCCTGGGTACAGTTTGCAAACACCCCACCCCCGACCCCCATGGTTACTACCATTGAAAGGTATGTTTGGTACGATGTTTAAGAAGTTGTTTTCTCTAGCCTTCCTGTTCAGTGTGTTGGTGACCTTTCAGGCAGAATACATGAGATTTTCCAAAGAGCAACTACCATAAAACAGGAGAATTTTACATGTCTAGATCTGATTTGAAATTCAACATGAGGAAAAGCACTGAACCAAAACTACTTTGCTATATTAGTAAATAATAAGCACAGAGCTTCTTGGCGCACACTGGAAAGCAGCTCATACCTCTGAGGACGACCCCTTTGCTGCTTCTGCAGTCATGTTAGCAAAGGGTTCCCAGAAAATGTCTTTTTCCTGTTTCACACGTTCCACTTTGGCAGCTTCGGTTTCCTCCACAAACCTAGTCTGCCAAAGACCATGAAGAGCCAAGGAAACACCAACAGATTAGCATTCTCCACTAGATGGCAAACGGTGTGATATTCAGATGATGAAAAGATGAAGTCACTTAACCTGTGGGCTCATGGGGCGTGGCTAAAAACCCCTCTACCGTGTTTTCTCTGCCCTACAGCCTTCTTTCAAGAAAAAACGGTGGTCTGCCAACCTTTACTTAAAAAATAAGCTAAGCCAAGAGCAGACTGGCAAGAGAGATGTGTTCATGGACTTAAAGTACAGCTTAGATGTAACACAAGATAGGTGTCAGATGTGAGATATGTGAAGTATGTCATACATGCAGGTGTACTTACATATATTAAACATATAGTCCGGTTTAACAATGGGCACAATATTAAATTAAGTGCTTATGAATAATTTTTCTTGGATTTGTGACCTTAGAATTATTTCCATTAGTACTCCCAACTATCCCTTAAATTACAACTTGGTGATAGCACCATCTTAAAGTTTTCAAAGTATATACAAACATGGGATCCCTATGATTCAAAATTTTGGTTCTAAATGTAAAAATGCCTTAAATATAATGTCACTATCTTGGCCTCAATCATTGAACAAAAGCCTAAATTATACTTAAACTACAATAACAGATCCTCAGAGCCTATATAATTAGCTGCATCTAATTATGATTAGTAACAGTAAAGGGACCCCCACGTGTCATCTTGCTGCCTGGACTATCAGTGCCACTCTATCCCAAACTACAGAGGGACTTCAGGAGTTTCACTTCTCTCACTTGTAATATGTTCTCAATTGTTTTAAGTGCTTGGAACTGAAGTGTCTTGGAGTTTTTACCCCCACACACTAAAACACTTTGGAGATGGGACCCAAGTCTAAAAACAAAATCCATTTATTTATATTTCATGTGAACTTTAAACACTATAGCCTGAAGTTAATTTTATGCAAAATTTTAAATGATTTTGTGTATGAAGTAGTTCTATGGTATGGAGTTTTCTACTGTGGCACTCAAAAAGTGTTAGATTTCAGAGTATTTTGGATTAGGACTGCTCTGAGCATTCTGAAAAATTTAAGCAAAGTTGGTTATAATTACAGTTTCAGAAAAGAAAAGGTAATTCCATAATAAATACCTTCTCCAGAAAGGATACAACTTTGTTTCTAGTTTCTTCAGAACTTAGACACTGTGGAACTATTTCTTCATGATTTGTTCCCTATTAAAAGATTAACAAACAAGATCAATTTTAAGATTATTTCAACAACTTGCAAAGACAAATGAGTTGTAAGAGCTACCTTATTAAAACTTTAAGAAAACAGTGCTATGGGATATTCAAAGGCAGCGAGCTCACAGTCGGCTGTATTGACGCAGTGCAAGTCTAGTGTTGAGACTTCCCCTCTGCTCAGCCACCAGAGGAGAAGCAGCCCAGGGAGGAGTCACCTTCCCTAGGACCCAAACCAGCAGGTTTCGGTTCTTCAGCTCAGGACAGTTCAGGATGAGATGTACCATCATTCAACCCAAAAACACTGTCTGCGTCCGAGTTAGTCAAGCCACTGTGAAGGCCTGTCCAGGGCTCGCTGATGATTTCAGAACCTCCCACTTCTCTAGGCCTTATCTGAGATCCTGTAGAGCACGCGACTCATTTCCTCCAGCAGAAAGTTTTACAACTAAGGTGCAGAAGCAGCTCTGTAAATAATTTTTGGACCTTCTTTGGTCGTGACTGACAAGTCCGGGTTATAAGTAATTACCTCAGCAAACTGGGTAAAAGCCTCCAAGGTATGTTGCTCTAGCAGCCAGTTCCTGTCAGCTAGCAGTAAGCCAAGAATACAAGACAAGCTGGGCAGAATTTTGTCCTAAAAAGAGAACCAAACCTTATTAATTACAGAAGAAGAAACCCAGTAGAGTACATTCAGATGCCCACAGTTGCCAGCCTTCTAGATCCCTGTCCTGCTGAAGGTGTGTGCCCAGCATGGCGGCTCACTGCACTCCTGCGCTCAGTCCTTCCCATAGCTTCCCTAACATGAGGCCTGCTCCCACCTGGAGGCCCACGCTTGCTGTTGCCAGTGCCCAGACGACTCTCCCAGATGCTGTGTGGCTAGTGCCTCGCATACTTCCCTGTCACCCTCCCCCAGTGAGGACCCCTCTGACTCCCCTCAGATGGGGCCCCTGTCCCCCTTGCTTTGTTTTCTTTAACAGCATCACTTCTGTTTAACGTGCTGCCTGGCGAGGCAGAGACGGGGGACTTGCCATTTACTAGTTCACTGTATCACCTGGGACTAAAACAGCACCCCAGGGCCGGGCTGCAGTGAGGCACTGGGTTCAATCCTCAGCACCACATAAAAATAAATAAATAAAATAAAGGTATTATGTCCACCTACAACTAAAACATATTAAAAAAAAAAAAACACCTGGCGACAACCACTCATTCATTTTCTTGAATGAACAAATGAATCAAATGAATCCATCTTATCTCATAGCTTTAAATGTCCCATGTGCTCAGAAATCCTCAAAATTTCTTCAGGCCCTGGCCTCTCCCCAGAGAACATATCAGGCATTGCAATTTCTGGTGATAAAACATTTGTTCCACAGGTTCTGGCCCACGCAGGGTTCACAACTGCATGAACAGAGCAGCACTTTGGGATAAGCCAGCTCAAGTGCAAATATCTTTGGATACTTTTGCCAAAAGAATTGGAAAGAAGCTGTCAACATCTACACTTGTGACTACAATGACGTGATAGAAACAGACGGCATACTGACATTTATTTGTGAATAAACAAGAAGTCTTTAGAAATTAATGTTTTGATGCCAAAGATTTTTAATTAACAGCATGCTTGGATTATAAAATAAAGGCCTTAATTTTGAGCTCTTTTTTGTAGACTTTCTCTTGGAGGTAAGATTAAAAAAAAAAGTCAATTATCTAAAATCGCTGGAATTTCAGCAATTTTAGTCATACAGGAATAAGGAAGGGAAAACTCTCCATTTATGAGGAGCTTCTTTTGCTTTAAGGTCTGCTTTAAAACTCAGTAGGCATGCATTGCCAGGCCACTGCAGATGACCTTGTAAGCGAGCAGTCACAAGTCAGCTGTAAGTGGGAAACATTTTCTACAAGTCTTTCAAAACTAACAGGTGCCCATTCATGAATACAAAGCCTAGAAAAATAATTTCTATAAATGAAAATTTTTCTAATTACACTGTTGGACAGAAGGCATGAAAAAGCTTTCTGCCTTCAGAAACTGTAGCTGAGCCCAACTGGTATGAGCATCTTCTATCTCAGACTACAGATGAACTATCTGTATGTCTACGTATTTTTCTGAAAGAAAATGAGTTGTTTTGACAGTCACCTTCTCTTAAGATAAATGTTTCTTTCCCCCTCTTCACTGCCAGTAATCCACAAAATTTCAGAAGTCAAAAGTCCTTCATCATCAAATTCAGCAACGTAGGCAGGATACCTAATCAACGTAGCTCTCCTATCCACTAATAACAA